AGTTAAGAACAACAAATCAACAAAACATCAATCTGTAAAAATATAATTCCTAAATTGAAACGAGAACATAAATACTATTCAAAACTTATTACTAAACATCTAAACAATATAATATATCAAATATAAAAATCTAACATAAAATATACAAAAATATATATATAACACCAAACCGACTAATAGATATCAAACACCGACCTAACACAAATCATAAAACAAGAACCAGAAGAACAATAAATCAACATGATATTAAACTGTAAAAAGAAGATCCCCAATTAGAAGCCAAAACAGTTGAACAGCTGATCATTACTACCTACAATCAACAAGAGCTCGGGACCCCGGGTTCGCTAAGACCCGTAAACACGTAAGAACGTGTTCCCCTGGGGGATATCAAATACCTAAAAAAATCAAAAAAAAAAAGAAAAAAAATGCCAAAGAACAAAAATCATACCTACATCAAACAGTGAAAGAAATTACCTAATTCATAGCCTATGGTGATGAACAGCTGTTCAACTCTACTTAAAAACAACCAAATAAAATATATTCTAGAATACTTACGCATCAATATAGACAATAAAAATATCCAACAACAAAAAAAAGACAAATCACCAAACAAATACCTAACACAAATCACAACAAAAAAGATTACTAGCTGTTCAACCCTACTTACAAACAACCAAGAAGAAGTAAGAATTACCAAACATAAAAATACACATATAATATATACAAGTCCAAAACGCCAACAGTACAACAAACAAATACAAATATCACAAATCATAAAACAAGAACCAGAAGGACAATAAATTAACAAGATATTAAACTGTAAAAAGACGATTCTCAATTAGATGCCAAAATGAATGAACAGCTGTTAACCCTACCCACAAACAACAACAAAAAAAATGAATTCAAAATTTACTACTCATAAACAGAGGCAAAAAGTATATCCAACCTCATACACCATCAATACCATCAAACTTATATCTAGCAAAAATAATAAAAAAAATAACAGCCAAATATTAATAAATATTCCTATATCAAACAGTAAAAAGAAAGTCTCTCATTTAAAGTCAACACATTATTACTATTCAACATAACATAATTAAAAAACCATAAAAAAAATAAGAAAGAAAAACTACTGTTATTAATAATAAACAAATATATCCAACACTAGACAAATTTTAAATTATTAAATTCTTATTATAATTCTTATTTTTAATGGAAGCCAAAACACAAGTTCTATTCGCTCTACCTAGAAAATCCATAGAGAATAAAAAATGAAATACCATACTTAAATATAGATAACTCCAGTCTTGATTCCATTACTTTGCTCGAGATGATTGAAGAATTCCTGATTGTTTTCTACGATAATGAGGTGCTCTCCCACCGATCAACCTCCAATCTGGAGGACTATCCACAAGTATTTGTAAATAACCTTCTGGAGCTATTGCAGTGCATGGTCCACGAAACAGCTTTTAGTTAATGTAAACATAAAATCCCCGGTCTCGACTGAATACCTTATTAACAAAAATTAAAAAATTATTAACACAAGAATGGTTCTGTACTTGGATAAGAAAAAATTAGTTAATTAACAAAGTAGAAGAAATATCACTTTTATAAATACTCAACAATATATATATATATATATAATAACAAAACATGGTCGGAAGATGCTCTTTTACATTGCCAAAACAAACAAGTGCACAAATCCAAACGAACCCACGGAAGATCAACGTGTACAATTAAGAGGCCCCAAACACATTCAATAAACATTTTTCAACAAATCGATATCATCAATCCAGTTAGAAATATTGAAAAGAGAACAGTTCTACGATTTCGGCGGCAACAGTGGACGAGATTACGGTGACCACATTGGCAACGACGACGACAGCGACGATTGCTGCGACCACCATTACTACTGCGGCGAAAATGACCACTGTCATCGATCTTTGCTACGGCGACGACGACAGCGATGTTGATTATCTGTCACAGTTAAATATCCAATGGATATATAAATTAAAACGGCCCTTATTATTGCCAACAAATTCCCATCCAACTCTGATTATTTGATCGACGAAGTTTCGGATCCGCGTTGGCTTATTGAAAAAAACTTATTTGAATTATTTAAATTATTGCCAACGAGCTCTTGCATAATTTTAAATATAATGATCTAAAATTATTCATATTAAATATTTAATATTCATGTTATTAATTTATTCCCCATTGTATTCTCGGAACCCGATCAGTCACTTATTTGATCCTAGATCCAGGATCTAGTTGATCCTGTCGATCGGGACCCACACATGGAGAGGGAAGGTAGTTGACGTTAGTTGTCCACTTTAATCTAAATCGACCTCTCGATCACACATCTCACTGTTAAAGAGATTCCTATGCTAAAAGAAATAAAGAAAATCAATTCCCGGTTACATTATTCATGTATCGTAAGAAAGTTAAGACTGTATATTATTAAATATATTTTGAACATAAATTAGAAGAAATGTAATTTGTAAAAATGAAATTATTTAATAAAAATTGTAACGAACACAATTTATTGGGCCGTCGTTGGCATTCGTTACTATACTTACACCGCGCTGCGTGAAGGCCTAACACCGACATATAGCCCGACTATATTGCCTACGGCGCACCACTACTATTCCCGTGTAAGTAAAGCTATTGTTTATCCACTTAATAGTTAATTAACATATTGAAGGTGATAATTAACTATTGTAAAGTGCTTTATTGGACCAGTAGCAAACTGTAAGACTACCCAAAAACACCGATAGTCGACAACAATAATACCAAAATACATAGGTAATGAAAACACATCGATTACAACAGTCGGCATACCATGGATGGTTTATATAAACAGCGTCTGAACACAAGTTCCGAAGCACTCAACTATTATATTACAAAGTTAGCAGTGAACAGTCCTTTCGGATGAAAGTTAGAGGATTGTCATTTGTTCGGCCATTAATGTAATAGCAGTGCCACACTGTCCGTCGCATACCGTTGTTCGTTGTGCCCCATTCTCGTAGTATTGTATCAAATAATGACGGGCATAACCGAATGATTTCAACAATCGAAATATTAGTATTCGAGACATTTGTATTGTATAGTTGGCATACCATGATGGCTTATATAAACTCACCGACCACGGCGTTAGAACCGGGGAGGGGGCCTAGGGGCCGTACCGTATTTATAAAAATACAATTTATATTGTTAACAAAAAGTGCATATTATATGGACTGTTATATGACACGCACAAGTATGTAGATAGAACCATAGAGGTATGACGGTTGAAAGGAGTTTCTCCACACTTCGGAGACTAAAAATCTGGCTTCGTTCAAGGATGACTGAAGATATACAATCAGTATTATGCCTAATTAATGTATATCATAAAGTAAATATTCTAGATCAAACAGATCATATTGATATTTTTGCCAATTTTAAAAATAGACGACTTGAATTTGTGTTGTAAAAATTGTTGTTTTCTTTTTGTTATAAGATTTTATAAAATTATAACTTGCCCCCTCCCCCCTAACTAAAGCTCCGAAGCCGCCCCTAGTTAGAACACTAGTTCCGGAGCACTTAACTATTACATTAAAGAGTTAGCAGTGAACAGTCCTTTGGGCTATAAGTTGATTTTGTTCGGCCATTAATGTAATAGCAGTGGTACACCGTCCGCCGCATGCCGTTTGTTGTTCCCCGTTCCCCGAATATTGTATCAATGTCGGTCGACCACCAGGTTAGAGCGTATTGAAACACGCTTATCGTTTTTCGCTGTCCTTTTCCCGTGTTGTGTCGGTGTCTCTCGGCCGCTGGGTTCAAGCGCAGATACGCATCGGGACCAGTTGTGCGCGCACGTTTTGCCTTTGACGTTCCGTCCGTGCCTCCACCACCGGACTTGAATGTGCCGCCAGTCGAGAGGTACGGTCACGAGGGATGTATTAATCCCTGTTCGTGTAATATCCGAGATGATAAACACCGCGATCTCGTCGCACATCAGAGATTGATATCACGAAGTTGCCGTCGTCGCCTGTCGAGACCATCGACCAGTGATCGGTATTGTAACACGTGATCGCGTGATCATCCCTCCGTCCGTACCACCGCCACTGAATTCGAGTGCACCGAACCGCCTGTCAATTGATAACAGTCATCAAATCGCTACCAATCCGGACCAACTACAAATCCAGTGTAATTACGGAGAAGCAGCGTCGGGTTAGGCACAGGCAAAATAATCAGATGATTGGAACGGAAATTTGCCGCACTTCAGAAAAAAAAAGTGTATTTACTAAATATTATTATAATTCATGAATATTAACTATTAGGTTATTAACTCGGTGAATACTGAAATGATTTCGGTGAACGTGATCGAATACAATTATTATTATTAGCGAATCTATATGTTTCCCGGAAATGGTTTATTTAAATATAATCAGCCATATAATAGCCATACATTATGGCAATACATTCTGGGTATGCAAATATTTACGATAAATTCGAATTTTTGATCAACATAGACAAGAAGTCCATTAATACTGATGACATTGTTCAAGGACCCAAAAACTTACCACAATTTTATGAAACGGACATTGATGAAAACACATTTATACAAGAATGCATACATTTCAAACTTATACGAAAAATGCAACGGAAAAAAACAACAAAATCAAAGTTTATTTACATTTTTTAGAAATCAGAATTTAGAAGACTAATTTCCGAATGTTAGCATCGCTTTAAGAATATACTCCTGTATGGCGGTTACTAATTGTTCGGCAGAAGGATCGTTTTCGTATCTCAAAAGAACTAAAACTTATTTAATATCTACTATTGGCCAAAATCGGTTAAATAGTTTGACTCTCCTGAGCATTGAATCAGATTTAGTGTCAACCTTTCAAGACCTAATCGAAGCATGCGCTAACCTCAAAAGCCGAACGAAAATAATTTAATATTTGACTATTAAATTAAATTTAAAATAATAAAGAATAATTTAACTAGGTAACAATGCATTTCTATATGTATTTTGTTTTAAAAAAAAAGTTTAAAATGAAACGGCGGCAAATGTCCTGCTTGTAGGCGACAAATTGCTTAATCCGCCACTGTGAGGAAGAGAACTACAGTCAGCCAACCATCATTGACGGAGAGCAGTATACTTGATACATTAGTATTAGGGATGTCCAGATTTCAAAATCGATATATCGAAGTAATCAATATCAATACATGATATAGTTCGCAGTTAAAATGACGATAAATCGATAATATCGAAAAAAATTAACATATATTACTTATAAATTAATAACCCTTAAAACCGGGCCTGTCTTTAGTGATGATAATACATTTTTCTATTTAATAACTGTTTCTAATTTAAATTTATAAATAGGTATTGTAATTAATAGTTGTAATACCACGAACTAAGAGTTATATATATGATACATCTTAGTTGTTATTTATGTATTATGTGTCTTATTTCGTAGTAATTATTAGTGGTTTGAACTATAGATTAAAAACTGCAATTTGTGGTACTTTTGTCCACTAAATATCGATAAAAAATAAGTAGATATATGCACAGATATATGTAGGTATTGCTATTAAATTAAGTTGTATTTAAATTTTTTGTATAAAAATGAGGAAAAATGTCATCGATATTCAGAACAAACGTATCGATACTATCGATATGTTATGGATAGTTTTAAAATGGGTAGTTAACACATTACCTGGATAAAGTACATCTTATTCATATGAATAGTAAAATGTGTAATTTTTCCAATATGCTATAAAGTCAATTCGAAGAAAAAAATTTTAAGATCAATTTTACACAAACATTTTTTAAAACTTCGTTGATCGAAAAGAAATTGTGCATTAGCTATTTCACATAAAGATTCTTTTGTAGCCAACACTTATAAAATATTTATAAAAGTTTCATTATTATTTATTTGTTTTTATTCACGTTTCTTATTTTAGATAGTATATTATAATATTTTGATTCCGTTAAATTTGCCAAATTTCCATTCCTTTCATTAAATAATTTATTGAAATTCTCAAAAAATTTTTCTTTTTATGAAGAATCAAGATTGTTTTTTAAAATTACTAAATTATCAAATATTAATAAACCGAACAAGTGAACTCGAAAACCAATAGCACCGTACTAAAGTTTAAAATTATTATATTGGTACAATATCAATGCACACGATTTATCATAATGTAGGTACAATTTATATTTTATCGTATTTTATTAATATTATCTACAATTCATATTTTGTCATATTTCATTTTATGAAAACACTTTATCCACTTAAAGGTATAAATTAATCAGTTAATTTACCTACAAAGTAAACTTTTTACAAATATGTTTACTTTATCCAATAGGCATGGGTAGTGTTCACATTACCTGTGTGATGTATACATTACCAGATTTTCGTACTCTACCCGTAACATATATCAAATAAAATATATAGATATAAAACATCGATATTTTGAAACTGAAACATCGATATTTCGATATTATCGATAATAGTTGGACATCCCTAATTAGTATACCAATGGCGTATTTGAGGGGGGCATTCGTACCCATGGCTCGTATTTTTTTGAATATAATATATTGATTTATTTAAAAAATGTAATATATAAATAATTAAGAATATAAATTACTAGTCTATTATTATAACAGGAACATTAGCTGTAGGTAATGAACTATAAATTATTTTTAAGTTTGTATTGAAGAAAAATTTGTTTCGCCCGCCCCCCTTAGTCTCAACTCAAATACGCCCTTTTAGTATACACTAGTACCACAGTCTTGAGTACATAAACGAATAGTCATAATTGTGAATGGAACTTTAAGATTATATAATTAGGTACTCCGCGAAATTAATATTGTTTTCTTTAGTTGATATTTGTCGAGTCAAATTACGTCTACAATAATATTTATTATGTTCGATATTATATAAAATTATTGAAAACATATATATAAACATTGTGAATTCTCTCAATTATGTCATATCAATAAATGCATAGAATTAACATAACACCAAATCTTGGTCAATTATTTGTAGTCAGTAAGTCTACAAATTAGTGCCCAATTAATCCCAGTAAATAAATAAACTGTAAATAGGTGCACGTATAGTGTCCATTACAACATAAATATAATAATACGAGTAACATTGAACATAGATTATCTGTCTCATCGTTGCTCCTGCCTCGATGTGCCGCCAAAAAATATTATTTAAATGTGAATGTTTTTTATTTACAACAATTAATTTTAATTATGAAAAACATTAACCGATGAAATATTAAGGTCTGTTAAAGTTGAAAAAATTTTTATACATCCTCATTTAAGTTCCAAAACAATTTTTACTAAAATTATTATTTTATAGCGCGTGTTAGAATATAAGTAGGTACTTATCTATAAATACAAAAATGTATTTTTATTTTAAATATGGATTAAATATTAAAATTATACTATAGGTATGCTATAACGTAAAAATCATATTTTTAAATATTTTTCAGTCAGAATAAAAGAAGTATGCCAAAAAGGTTTCCTTGAGACAGAGGAATATATAAATTGTCATAATTTTAAACATTATTTATGTATTAAAAATAATATAAATAAATGTTATTAACAACATTATACTTTAAATTGTCAATAAAAATGAATATATTAATAACAAAAGAAAAAATGAAAAAGGGACTAGAGATTACTCATGCAGGTGAAACACAAAAATTTTATATTTATATAAAATATAAAATTTATTTTAATATTTAATAATAAAAAAAAAAATATATATAAATTCAAATAAATTAAAATTTAATTTATAAATTTGAGTATTAATAATTTAAATAAATATAGAAAGGAAAAAAATGTATTTAAGTAATGGAAAATATTATTTATATAACAGAGAATACTTAATTATTTAATGCTTAAAAAGTTAATGGATAAAATATAAAAAAATAATTTGAATATTAAAAAATTTAATCGATTTGGTTATAATTACAGAGATTATTCAAAATAAAAACGACTTACCGTTATTCCTGGGAGTAATTAGATAAGTGATTGTCACTCGTAAGTTCATTTCACTCTGGATCGGCACCTATATTTCGGCTGTTAACTCTAATAAAAATAACAAATACAATATTTCATTTCAATAAATAATTACACTTTAATAATTAAAGAAAAATAAATAATAATTTATTTTATTATTACAATGGGCAGAAATTATGAAAAATATAATTTGTTAGAATGACAATAATTAACAATCGTGAATGGAATAAGGCAAATAATATTGGACATAGATCACCCGTCTCATCGTTGCTCCCGTCGCGGTATGGCGCCAAAAAATATTTAAATTTAAATGGTTTTTATTTACAACAATTTATTTTATAACATTAACCGATGGAATACTGAGATTTGTTAAAATTAATATAGTTTTTATATACTATCATTTACGTTTCAAAACGATTTTTACTAAAGCTATTAAGCTATAGCGCATGTTCGAATATAACCATGTACAGATATAACAATGTATTGTTATTTTAAGTATAGATCAAATATTAAAAATGATGTTTTGTAACAATAAATAATATTTATAAATACTTCTCAATAGCGATAAAAGAAGTACGTTAAAAAAGGCTTAGTTTCCTGGTGCCTGGAGGCCGAGGGAAATATAATTTATATTGTAATTTTAAACATTATTTGTGTAATAAAGAAAACAAAATGAAGTAAATATTATTAAAAACATTATACTTTAAATTATAACAAAATATTAATGCTTCAATGACAAAATAAAAATAAAAAAGGATATCCAGAAGTCTAGAGACTACTTATGCAGACGAAATAAAAAAATATATTTTATAATAATAAAAGAAAATTACTAATACTAGGTATTAAATTTACAGATTTATAGTATTAATAATTTAAATGAATATTGAATGCAAAAATTGATTTAAGTAATGGAAAAATATTATTTACATAACCGAGAATACTTAATTATTGTAGGTTTTAAAAGGTAATGAATTAAATATAAAAAAAATAAAGTAGTAACTAAAAATATTAAATATATTTATTTAATTATAATTACAGTTGTTATTCAAAAGAAAAACGACGTACCAGAATTCGTGGGAGTATGTAGGTATGTGTTTGTCTATCGTAAGGTCGTTTCACTTTGGACCGGTTCTTAGATTTCAGCTGTTTACTATAATATGTAAAATAAATACAATGTTTTAATATTCAATTACATTTTGAGAATTAAAGAAAAATAAATTATAATTTATTTTTTTATTTTATTCGTATTAATATTTACAATGGATAGGAATTATAAAAAATATAATTTGTAAGAATGACAATATTTAACAAACATAAATAGAAGAAAACAAGTAATATTGGACATGGATTATGTATAATATCAGGTAATATTGGACATGGATTGTCTCATCGTTGCTCCTGTCGTAATATGCCGCCAAAAAATATTATTTAAATGTGAATGTTTTTTATTTAAAATTATTAATTTTAATTATGAATAACATTAACCGATGAAATGTTAAGATCTGTTAAAGTTGAAAAAGTTTTTATACACTCTCATTTAAGTTTCAAAACGATTTTTACTAAAATTATTATTCCATAGTGCATGTTAGAATATAACTATCTACAAATACAACCAAACCCGGATTATGATAATTTGGGGCCCACAACCATAATCGAAATATTGATTACCCACACATAAATATATTTCAGGGACAAAAAAATTTTTTTTTTCTAATTTATAAATATATTTCTTGTTTTTTTAATACAAAAATAAAAATTTTATTTGTATAAATATTTTTTTCTTTCTTTTTGGAAAGCAAACCCTTTAATTATATAATCGATATTAATTACCTCCAATACAATACTCTCTGAACACAAAATAATTAAACTTTTAAATTTGCTTGAGAACTACTCGTTCTATACTTGTTTTTGATACGAACTAAAAAAATAGTTAAAAAAACAAAAAAAACTACTATTCGCCAGGGGCCTACTATTGTTTGATATCCATTGTGGGCTCATGGCCATGCCCCCCCCCATTAATCCTGGCTTGAATACAACAATGTATTTTTATTTGAAATATGGATTAAATATTGAAAATATTCTATATTTTATAATGTAAAATCATATTTTTAAATATTTTTCAGTCGCGATAAAAGAAGTATGTCAAAAAAAGTTTCCTTGTGTCTGGAGGCCGGGGAATATATAAATTGTGTCATAATTTTTAACATTATTTATATACTAAAAAAACATAAATAAATGTTATTAAAAACATTATACTTTAAATTTTTAAAAAAATTAATACTTTAATAACAAAAGAAAAAATGAAAATGGGTCTAGAAATTACTCATACAGGTGAAACACGAAAATGTATTTAATAATAAAAAAAAAACAAATACCAATTCAAATAAATTGAAATTTAATTTATAAATTTAAAGTAATAATAATTTAAATAAATATAGAAAGAAAAAAAATTGATTTAAGTAATGGGAAAATATTATTTACATAACAGGGAATACTTAATTATTTTAAGTTTTAAACTTAATGGATTAAATATAAAAAAATGTGTTCGAAACTTACAAACATAAATTTAATCGATTTTGTTACAATTACAGTTGTTATTCAAAATAAAAACGACATACCGTTATTCCTGGGAGTAAGTAGATAAGTGATTGTCACTCATTAGTTCGTTTCATTCCTATATTTCGGCTGTTTACTCTAATAAAAAGAACAAATATTATATTTCAATAATTAATAACACTTAAATAATTAAAGAAAAATAAATAATAATTTATTTTTTTATTTTATTAGTATTAATATATACAATGGACAGGGATTATAAAAAATATAATTTATAAGAGTGACAATATTTAACAAACGTAAATAGAATAAGACAAGTAATATTAGACATAGATTATCTGTCTCATCGTTGCACTCGTTGCGGTGGGAAAGGGTCGATGGGCCGACAGTACATCGGATGGACAGCCAAAGGGCCGAAAGTACATGTGGCCAACAGCACCGTATAGTCCAAAACCCATGGCTAAAAAATTCTGATATACTTAATATAATTTTTACAATTTTATTTTATTCTTATACTAGTGCTTATCTAATCCACTGTTTAAGGCTTATACGTGTATAATAGCTAATAGACCGACTATAATATAATACCTATATATTTTAGTGCAATGTAGAAAATCTGATATTTTATAAAATGCCCGATATAAGCCGATAATGTATATAATGCCCCGATTATCTACATTGCCCGAAACATCGGTATACATTACAAAATACCACAAAAATCTATTAATATTTACTGTTTTCGATAGGTTTTGTATTTTTTGTATCCGATGCACACTTGCAACAATAAGGTTATCACCTATGATAATAGTAATTATCTCTGTCATCACATAAATTAGCCCGTTTCACATGTTACACTGATAATATCAATAATAATCGAATCCTATCGCATCGAAGTGATGAAATTATTCCAACAAAATATTGCGTTGTAAATAGTACTAACCATAAGTGCCGCCAGAATTTCTGTCATAAGTGCATAGTATATGGGCGACTTCCGAGTGCGTCCCAAAATGTCCCTTATTTAATGTTTCGAATGCGTCCGGAATAAGATCTCGCCCGAGTGCGTCCCAAGAGAAAAAGGTCACTACTTTGACGAAGTCCAAGTGCGTCCCAGTTCATTTAGAGTTACCCAGGGTGCACCACGAGGAGGTGAACTGGCTTACACCCCAAAAATATTTGGTTAGTAAATATATATATAAATAGTATAGTAAAATTTAATTATTTAGGCTTACATCCGTTTTTAAAATATTGGGTTAATATTAACTATTTTTTGATTGACTTTTCAATGCCATGATTTTCACATAATCATGTCTAGAAATTTGTTTAATTTTGTATTTTTGTTTAGTTTCTTCAATGAATTTAATATTTTTTTTATTGACTGATCTAATTTTTTTAGGTATATGATTGGAAGTTTGTATTAAAATTGTTGTGTTTATTTAATTTTTTTAAAATATTGTACTATGGTTTTTACCTTTGACAAAGTAGAATCTATACAATTCAAGCTACATTGGACAATTAAATTTATAGAATGTGCAAAGCAAGATAGCCATCTCCAGTTACACCTTCTAATTGCTGATTTTATATTAGCTGCATTATCAGTTATTACAGCAGTAAGTTTATATAATAAATTCCATTCCTCAACTAGGTTTCTTAAAAAATTAGCCAAATTTTCACTTGTATGTTTTTCACCAAACTCAATACAGCCTAATAATACAGATGAAATAACTGTCTCGTTTTTTGGGTCAATAAAATATGCTGTTACGGATATAAAACTTTGGTTAGTCCTGGAAGTCCACCCATCTGTAGTCAAACACACAGCTTCAACAATTTTTAATCTATCCTTCAGAATACGACTACATCATCATCCGTTCGTAAGAGTACTCGAGTAGACGGAATGCGACGATGCGCTGTTTGTGCGTAAAAAAATGCGACCGCATCGTAGCAGTATTATAATATTATATGGTCTTTGCGGCCGGTGCGGTCTGGCCGCGCACTGCAACGGATGTTTTCGCGAAATAATAATCAGCCGACGGTATTATTATTGTTATTGTTAATGTTTTTCGAGATCATATCGAGTTGAACGACGGACTGAATATCAATTGCAGTAGGTTTGGTTACTCGACGATCACTCGAAGGACGGCGAAACACCGGGGTGGTGTACACGAAAACGACGGTACCTAACCAACGAGGGCGCGATTTTTCGATTTCTCGTCGACGTTAATAAAAAAAATTGCCGTTTTCCTTGCATTTTCCCTTTCTCGTTATAACATCATTCTCTTGTGGACAACGTGGTCGTTGATATACGATAAATATTAACCGTCGGCGAACGTCGTCGTTTTGCAGGATCCTGCGAATCGCATGCATTGTAATATTATTTAATAATTTTCTCCCTTCCCGCGCGGTGTCAACAGTCAGCTGATTATTAATAATTCAAAGCGGTAAACATTGACTCGTCGTCGACAAACAGATGCGCGTCGGTGTAACTATGGAAACGAACAAATCAACAACGACTGAAAAATAAAATTTCCGATTCAATTCATTTTCATTTGGTTATTACGCAGTACAGTGTACACTCTATTATAAAATTATAGGGATCTCTGTTTCCGACCGGAATGCTATGTGGAAAGCATCAAGAAAGATGAGTAGTTAAAAGTATAGGTGATTCGCCGGCAGTGTAGTCTTACAGACGTTTTACAAAAACATTTTTCGTTAATATTCGCGTTTTCATCGCTTTACATATGCAACTGATGTAACTAAGATCAATGCGAAGTGTATTTCTTTTTGTTTTTCGTTGATCTTCGATAATGCTTTTCAAGTACCCAATAAGTTTCACGTAACAGATATTCCAAAGGTATGATTTCTGTTGTTTTTTTCAATGTTTTTTTTTTTTTATTTAAAGAACATTTCATTAGCGTTTTTCGATCATTTTGTAAGCCATTACGCATATGTGCGTACATCGTACGGATTAATAATTTAAACTATACTAATTTAAAACATCAGTCGAAGAAAATAACTAAATCAAAGCATCAGTCGAAGAAAATAACTAAATTAAAATTTCAGTCGAAGAAAATAACTAAATTAAAACATCAGTCGAAGAAAATAACTAAATTAAAATAACTATTCGTTGATGATGCGTAACCGAAAGATATTATTCATAAGTCGGTCTTGTACCCCGTTGCACGTGCGTCGTGGTACGCCAAATCTAATGGAATTTTTTTCTCCGGTACACGTGTACCGTGCCGGTACAGCACACAGAACAGAGAGGCAATTCGACTGAACACGCCTGCAGTTTTAGTGCGACGACGTGCTTTCCCTTGACGCCGATGCGTAGTAACGAGACGTGAGGGTACTTGTCGTTATCAAAATATTAATAAACAAATGCCGGATAAACAATGGAAATCCGAGCGTGAAAAATAACCAGGCGGATGCGTGTGCGCGAAAAGGGTCACGCGCAATTCGGCCACGAGGCGTACGTAGAGCTACGTATAAGGTATCTGTGATGGGATTTTTACGACGTTTTACGAACAGGGAACAGGACCCTCCTTTGTACGCGCCTTTTATCATCATCCTCTGCGTCCTGCCACGTGGTGAACACAAAACATGGACGCGTATGGCGGGGGCGGGCGGTGTTTAGTTCTCTGAAATTGCATTCCTATGCAAATGTCCACCGCACGCAAACGGCAGACGAAGAAAAATAAAAAAAAAAATAATAGCAGTGACTCGACCCCACCGCCGGGCTCAGGTAAGGATTTATCAGCGTCGTTCCATCGCGTCGCATATCATCGTTTTGCACACGTCTCCTCCGCACGGTATTAACAAAACACGCATCGCTTCGATGAATTCAGATATTCTATACCCAGTGAAGAAAATCTGAGACTTAGTGGTTCTCGATTAGTTCAAACCCATCTTACGTGTGCTTATGTAAATGCTTTTGTTAAAATTTAAAAAATAAATCCAATTGTTTCCAAAATGTTTTCCATTTTTTTTCTTTTATGTAATAATTATATAACGTTATACTTTTATTATAATTATTACAATTATTCTATACACCTTTGTAATAATATAAAAAACAAACGTTTACTTCGAAAACACGAACACAGAAATTTATTTGATTCAACACTTATGTTCGGTTGCATAAAAGTCATACATATTGCTGACGAATGAACTAATGGCTCATTAATGATTTTAATGTCTTGTTAAATCAATATACAATTTTTCAAATTCTCCAAGGAGAATAATATATTTAATTTATAATCTCTTATTTAAAATAAAGTTTTTAACAATTATTGAGTTGATATCACATGGTTGTTATCGCGTTTAAAATAATTTTATATTTCAAATTTTTTAATATTTGTTTATTGTGTAGTATGTGCCGTACTAGTGTACTACTGTTATAGTACCGTTAACTTATTTATTTCTATTAAAATGACGGATTTGAGCTTGATTTTTTTTTTAACGCAAGAACTTGCACATTTTTTTGTAATTATTAATTAATTCAAGCTTCAAGTTTAATAACATCGAAACTATTTCGCATAGAAAATGTGCATGAAAGTATGATTTATTAAAGGAATAAATATGCAAAAATCAAAAAATATGGTATAAACAAAAACAAGGTATATAGATTTTATTTTTAGAAACCGTATATAATTAATTAATAGCAAAATTAAAAAATTAAAAACTACACAACATTAATACTTCAAAATGTATAAATGTAAAACTATCTATAACATATAACATCATATAGGACGAAGTAAGGTATTTTCAAGGCAAAAGCAATTTCTTGTAATTATTTGTTAAACGTAAAATGTAATTCCCTATTACACGATTAACTTGAAAATTGCATTGGTCCTTAAAATGATCGAGTTTTTAAGGATCAATGTAATTTTCAAGTCAATCGCGTAACAGGGAATTACATTTTACGCTCAATAAATAATTTCACGAAATAGCCTATGCCATGAAAATATCTTACTTTACCTTGTATGCCTACTTCTATACTGGATTCGACAATTTATTTCATTAATTTTATTTTGCGGTATGCACGAGATGGACATTTATTAATAACGATGGGTTATTTGATTTCGGTTTAATCGTTGTATATTAAGTATCTAGTAAGTAGTATTGGTATTCAAGTATTCAATATAGATAAAGGCTACCGAGGATCTAAAATATTATAAAAACTAATGACAAATTGTAATAAAATGTTACAAATCAATAGAGTAAGATATTTTCGACTTGACGTCACAGTGTAACCTCCGACATTACGGATGGCGTTGATCATTTTAAAATAAGACAATGTATCAACTCTTTCCGGCAAGGTGGTTAGTACCATGGGTGTCGCGAGAGGAGTGCAAAGAGTTTGTATCCCCTTGGATTTTTTAAAAAAAAAAAATAAAATTTAAAAATTTATAATACAGACTGTCATTATCATTATTTGATTTTCTAATAGTTTGCATTACTTTGAAGCTATTGAAAAAAATAAAATAATTTTGTATTGTCGTACAATTTGAAAAAATATTCCGTCTCATTTAACTTAAATAATTTAAGTATTATTTAGAAATCAGCGTATATACTATGCACTTATGACAGGAATTCTGGCGGCACTTTTGGTTAGTACTATTTACAACGTAATATTTAGTTGGAATAATTTTTTTAAAAATGTAATAGTCAAATGGGTTACGTCCCATGTATTTAAGGTATCATTTTAATTTGCTATCATGTGCCGAAATCACAGCCTACTGCACGTAAATTGATGGAGCAGGAGATAGAAGAGGATCGCCATCAAGAGACTTAAAGTAATAATAATAATAATACTAGTATTATGAAAGTCGATAATCAAAAACGTGGTATTACTAAAAAAAAAAAATGTTTAAAAATCAAGAAAACTGTATCATGTTGTCGAAATTTTTAATAGGTTTATTAATTCTGGTTAAAAATGAAAAACGATCGACGAGGTTAAAAATAATTGCGT